CACCTACCCAGGGCGGACCCACCCCACCTGCCTTGTTCGCCGACCCCGACCCCACGCCAGGGGCCACTCCGAAGGCTTCATCCCAGGACAGAATAATTTCAGGCCAAATCATGCTACCAATCATAAGCCATTTACTGCTCTGTCAGGCTCCAACCTGTTGTCCCTCCCCTCCCGTCTGTCTGTCCTCCGTGAGCACCGGCGGGAAAGTGGTGAGGACAAGGGACAGGGACACAACGTCCACACACCTCTCCAGAGGCTGCGGGAGCAGAGCGTGGTGGGTCAGGGTCCTGGGAGGCAGCTGGAGAGAGGGGACACTTACAGGGCACTTCCTGCCGTCGCCCAGCCCACCCTGCTGAGTGTGAAGTGCCCTGTTCTCCAGCGTCCGTATGCTCGGTCTGTGTCGTGCACAATCTGTGTTCTTTCATGCGGCAAGCGGGCCACGATGCCCAGGACGTAGGTGGTAGGAAGGAGGGACAGAGGTGAAAGATGCCAGTCCCTGCTCTCGATGAGCTCATGGTCTAGGCTGCAGAGCAGGGGGTCAGCAAACCACAGCCCACCTCCGACTTTTCGAATAAAGTTACGTTGGGAGGGAGCTGGGCTCGGTGTACTATTCCTCTGTAAACAGAAAGGAACTGCCACACAGAATAAACATGGGACCGCGTTCCACGGAACGGATGCTGCTTCACGGCCGCACCCCGAGCTGCGCCACCCGGGCGCGACAGCACTGCCTTCTGTCTCAGGGTACCTTGTCTGCTAGCCACCAGGAGGAAACACCACCACGGAACGCAGAGTCTGAGCACAAGGCCCAGCGCCCAAAACACTTATTCTCGGGCAGACAGCTGAGACTTGAAAGTCAAAACAGGGCCTTCTGACACCCGGCTGAAGCTAGAAGTGGAGGCAGAACTAATCGTCTCTGAAAAGTGGGCAGCGGGGCGCCTGGGTGGCTCAGTCGGTTAAGCATCCGACTTGGCCTCAGATCACGATCTCACGGTTGGTGAGTTCGAGCCCCACATCAGGCTCTCGGTTGTCAGCTCAGAGCCTGCCTCAGATCCTCTGTCCCCCCTCTCTGCCCCTCCTCTTTCTCTCTCGAAAATAAACAAACGTTGCGTTAGCATAGGGACGTGCAGGCGGAAGGATGACCCCAGGGCGCACCTTGGTCGGCCAGCTCCTGCTGGATCTCCTCGAGCACAGCCAGGTCCACGGGCTCCTCCAACTGCAAGAGAAAGTGGGCTCGCGAGGCTTCAAGTCCTAATCAGCCAGCAGGCCCCAGCCCGACTCCTACTTGGAGGCTGGCTTGAAGTCAGCTTTCACTGAGGAAACCGGTCCGGTCCTTCTGCAGGATTTAGCGATGATGTGGTAACACGGTCACGCCAAGAAGCCATCAACGAGCCACTGAACCCCCAGTGACAAAATAATGGTCCCAAATTTGGGGGGAGACAGCCTAGGGCAGCAGCTAAGTATTTGTTCTGCCAAAGCCAAGTAAGTGCCGGAAAGTTCTGAACCTCTGTAAACCTCACCTCGGGCCTCTGTGAAGCGGGAATAAACCTACTTGAAAGAGCTCCTGTGAGGGCCGACGGTTACTCAGACACGGGGCGAGCGCTGGCGCACATGGAAATCACCCAACAGTGCGTCATGGCTACAGACAGCCCCGATGTTTCCAGGGCAGCGTACCGGCATTTTCTCACGTTGCTTGGCCAGCGCTACCTTCTTCGTGGCACGAAGGTGAAGCGAAGCTCAGGGCACAGGAGAGGTGAGAGTGCAGAGCAAAACCAGGGCCGGGATTCCAGAACCACGGGCCTCCAAGCCAGCGATCTTCCTGGTACGTGGTAACCGGTTTCCTGTCTGCACCCAGCCCCCCACTCTGGCTGAGATTAGGATCAGAAAGCTCTGGGACCCTCTACAGGAGAGAGCCTCCTGGCCCTTGCCTGCCGAATCAAAATCTCCAGGGGAGGGGAGCCGAGCAGTGAAATTTCTTTCTTTTTAGATTCATGAGATGCAGTGACACAGCACACTGACAGTCTGGGGTTCATGAACCAGGAATCCAGAAGAGTCTAACGTTCAAGGTGGAGGAGCCTGGGTTAAGGGTAGTTCGAAAGCTGAGCGGTTCGAAAGCTGGAGGATGGCGGGGTTAGAGGACTTAGGGAAACAGGGAGAGAGGACACCCGGCAGTCCTGCGCTGTAGCCCCTCCCCGAAAACACACACCCCAGCCTGACCTGAGCCGAGACCTCTGGACGGCCCTCCACCGACCGCAACGCACTCCACTCCTCTTCCATCACTTCGTGCACCAGAAGGGTGCTCTGAGCGCTCCCTGGCACACTGCCTCCTGCCTGGCGGTATCTGTTCAGGAGCCTGTCCCGGCTGTTTCTCATTCTCTCCAGGCATCCCTTGGAAGGAAAAAGACGGGGAGCAGTTCCGTTAAAAAAAAAATTCCTGGGGCGCCTGGGTGGCTCAGTCGGTTAGGCGTCCGGCTTCAGCTCAGGTCATGATCTTGAGGTTCATGGGTTCAAGCCCCGCGTCCAGCTCCGCGCTGACAGCTCGGAGCCTGGAGCCTGCTTCTGATTCTGTGTCTCCCTCTCTTTCTGGCCCTCCCCCTCTGACACTCTGTCTCTCAAAAACTAAATAAACATTAAAAAAAAAATTCTTAAGACTAGGTGTTGAGACGTTAAAGGAAATTTACAGACAGGAAACGTTCGGCTGTAACCTTAATTATTATTTCTGCATATTCCTCTCCAGCCCTTATCCACACACAGACAGATGGAATCACAATGCTTTGTTTACGGAGCCCAGATCGGCATATTTCACAGCCTGTCTTCAATGCCGGCGTCCTGACTCCCACATCCCTGCTGCTCTAGCTACGGCGATGATAGCCGCCTTCCTGGACACGTTTCTCAACGCGGGACGGTTTTTAGCCCCCAGGGCACATTTGGCAATGCCTGAAGACATTTTTTGTTGTTGTCACTTGAATTGTGGGGCTACCGCATCTAGCGGGTGGAGGCCAGGGACGCTGCGAAACATTCCACAGTGCGGGGAACAGCGCCCCCAGCAACGAAGACCTGTCTTCCTCAAAACGTCCACAGCCCAGGTTGACAAGCCTCTGCTATTAGCGTCATTTCTAGCATCCCAGTATTTTCCTAGAATACAGGATCTCTACTCCTTTCTGGAAAGGTGGACCACATGACGGGAAGCATGCTGATGTCAGAATAGGTCACAAGTGAAGCAGGCGCACGTCCCTGCTGAGGCACAGTTACGGAGACGCAGAAGCCAAGTCTGGAGCAGGAACAGGCATCTTTTCCAAGTACTTGACTCCCCTCTGGAGAGGGACGGAGGGAAGCCGAGCGCCTCCCTGGCGCCCACCCGCCGCCCCCAGCAGGTGGTGCTAGGACGAGGCCGGCTCGCCAAGACCCCGCACGCCGGGTCCAGAAACCCCGAGAGCGCCCGGCTCGGTCCAGTCCCGCTCAGGTCCAGCTCCAGGTCCAGGTCCCCCGCCACCGCCCGGCACGCGGGAGGGCGGCTCCCCGGACGGAGTAGGGGTAACGGCGGCGCGGACGAGGCTTCCCAAGTCCCACGCCCACCTGCCGAAAAGCCTCTTTCCAGGACGGCGAACCCGCCGCCTTGTATAGCGAGCGGCGCCCCGAGCCCGGCGCCTCGGCCATCTCCTCTCCGCGCGAGTCGCCGCCAGGAAGTCCCGCCCCTGGGGGCGCTCAGAGCCCCTGGGAATTGTAGTTTCCGGGCGCCCGGAGCTCTCGCTCTCGGGGAGTTCCGGGAAGGGCAGTCTCCTCGGCCTACCCCTCCCGGAGACACAGTTGAGGGCGACCCCGAGTAGTGGCATTTGTGAGGTCAGCCCAACCCGGGCTGAGGGAGGTAGATCCTGAGGGATGGCTAGGCTTAGCCAGGCGGAGGTGTCCAGCCAGCAATAAGAGACAGTCTCCGGCCGTGGCCTGGGGGCCGGCCTTCCCGCAGCTGCGGAGCCGCCTCGGCGGCCCCGACTACACGCCCGCGGGGCGCGCAGCCCTCCCTTTGGCCCCGCCCCCGTGGACGCGTGTTTCCGGCCTGCCTGCTCGGTGATTGGCCGAAGGGCGACCGGCCGCCCGCGGATTGGCTGCGCTCTGCGGCGCGCGGAGCGACTGGGGAGACCAGCGCAGTGGGGCCAAGATGGCGGCAGCCGAGGGGCCCGCGGGCGACGGAGAGCCGTGGCAGTCCTGGCTTCCCAACCACGCCGTGTTCTTGCGGCTCCGCGAGGGGCTGAAGAGCCAGAGCCAGAGCCCGGCCGAAGCCGAGAAGCCGACGTGTTCCCCGTCGCCCTCGTCGCCGCCGCTGCTCACGAGGAACCTGGTGTTGGGCCTGGGCGGAGAGCTCTTCCTGTGGGACGCGGACGACAGCTCCTTCCTGGTGGTCCGGCTGCGGGGCCTCGGCGGCGGGGGCGAGGAGCCCTCCCTCTCCCAGTACCAGGTACGGCCCTCGGCAGGGGCCTGCCCGGGGTTCGGGTCTCCCGCGCACGCCGGCAGGTGTGCCGACAGGTGTAAGCCCTCGTCCCTTGGGGGGCGCCCAGCTGAGAGCGGGAGGCGCCTCTCCTCGTCGTTTTGGCCTCTGGCGGCCTCCCTTTGCGTCTTTGTTCCCTCGTCAGAGGCTTACGGTCTCCGACACCGTTAGAGCAACTCATGCTCTCGGGGAGCGTGGGTTCTTGGGGCCCGGGCTCAGGGCAGCGGCCGTGCAAGCCGCCAGGAAAACACCCGCGATGAAGGGGAGCGGAGAGAGCGTGGGGGTGCGGGGGGCGCTTCTCGGGAGGCTGGTTCTGAGAAGCCGGTTCCGCGACGGGACGCCCGCCAGATAATAAGCGTAATCCTGACTCCCTCCTGGGGTTGCGCCGGGCGCCGAAGCAGCGGGTAGACTTGAAAAACCCGGGTTTCGGGTTTTGTGCCTGCCGTGCAGGAGTCCCCTGTGAATTCCTTCTTTTCGCTTCTAGAAGATGAGCTCGTTCCCCAAGTTGGAAGGGAGGGAGTTTTGCTTGTTTCTGATTGTAGCGGACCGCCTGTGAAATTGGGGCTAGACAGAGAGCGGCCCAGACTCGCTGTGGTCAGTCGTTGCAACGTTTACTTGTAATTACCGGCTTCCCTTCTTTCAAAGATTAAAACACAGAAAACGTGCCGCCTGTTCTACCGCATGACCTCTGCCCCGAGCCGCTGGCGGACTCTCGCTGATGAGAAATGACTCGATTTTCACGGGGTGCTCGCAGGTTTCTGCAGTCCTGAAAACAGGGCACGGGTCTACACAGGCTGACCTGATGGGGGTGCAGAATACAGGTGGGGAGTGGGACTGCCAGGGGCAGGCTGGAGTTTGGTCGCGAAAAGGGAAATTATGGGGCGCCTGGGTGGTTCGGTGAGTTAAGCGTCTGACTTCAGCTCAGGTCACGATCTCGTGGTTCCTGAGTTCAAGCCCCGCGTCGGGCTCTGTG